GTTTCTGGGGTTTTGTTTAGCTTCTATATTTGCAACATAGTACATAGTTGCTTAGAGTTGTAGCTGAGAGGCCGGCAAGTCAGGTGGGGAACGTTGGAGTCCACAGTCACTGGAGCAAGCAAGCCTCCCTGTTCGCTTCAGTGCGTGGCTGCCGGCCGCCATCTTGGCTGACAGTTAATTTGCATAAGGATATGCTGATTAGCCAATGGGAAGGGTAGCGGTCGTACGCTAATTACCATGTTTCTCTTTTATTAGTGTAGATGAGTGAGATCATGTGGTATTTTTCTTTCACTGACTGGCTTATTTCACTTAGCATAATGCTCTCCAGTTCCATGCTGTTGCAAATGGTAAGAATTCCTTCTTTTTTACAGCAGCATAGTATTCCATTGTATAGATGTACCACAGTTTTCTAATCCATTCATCTACTGATGGGCACTTATGCTGTTTCCAGATCTTTGCTATGGTGAATTGTGCTGCTATGAACATAGGGGTGCATATATCCTTTCTGATTGGTGTTTCTGGTTTCTTGGGATATATTCCTAGAAGTGGGATTATTGGGTCAAATGGGAGTTCCATTTTTAACTTTTTGAGGAAACTCCATACTGTCTTCCATAGTGGCTGCACCTAACTGGTCCTTTTTCATGTCTTTAAAATTCTCACTAAGATCCTTGAAATTCTCATTAAGTTCCTTGAAAGTCTAAGTCCCTTGAACCTCTCTTTAAGATCCTTGAGCAAACTTATAACCGTTGTTTTGAACTCTTTACCTAGTAGTTTGCTTGTTTCCATTTCATTTCGTTCTTTTTCTGGAGATTTCTTCTGTTCTTTCATTTGTCACATGTTTCTTTGTCCCACGTTTTGGCAGCTTCCATGTGTTTGTTTCTATGTATTAGGTTGAGTTGCTATGTCTCCTGGAATTGGTGGATTGGCCATGTGTAGTAGGTGTCCTATAGGGCCCAGTGGCTCAGCCTCCCCAGACACCTGAGCTGGGCCCTCTAGGTGTGCCCCTGTGTGGGCTGTGTGCACAGTCTTATTGTAGTTCAGCCTTGATTGCGAGGAGTTGACCTCCAGGCCAATTGACTGTGAGGACCAGCTGCGACTACAGTGGAAGAGCCACTGTGCAAGAGACACCCTTATGGAGCAGGGCATGCTTCAGTGGGGCTTTGGTGCTCACAGAGTCCACTCCTTGAGTGTGTGGCTTGTGAAGTGTAGAGTTGTAATCTGGTATAGTCTGAAGCTGTCCACCAGGTACACTGGCTCTGGGGCCTTCTGGGACGTGCAAAGTCTGCCACTGCTTGGGGCCACCCGTCAGGAGCTACAGAAGGATCTGCAGATGGCTGCTGTTTGCTATTTGTATTGGGCTTGGAGGTGCCCAGGCTGGGCCAAGCTGTGAAGCAAGGCAGGCTAGTGCTAGTGCCAAGTCTTGGATATCTTATTGATAGACTAGAGGCCCGATGCATGAAATTTGTGCAAGGGGCTCATCCCCTGATGCCACAGAGGCTGACTATGCCTCGGCCCCTGCCCGCTGCCATGGCTGCCTCTGCCTTAGCACTCCCCCACCACCACCACCACCACCATGGCTTCATTCAGAAGGTCATCTGGAAGGACATCCAGAAGGATGTCTGGTCTAATTAGCATATTATGCTTTTATTATTAAAGATATGGGGCATGTTGACACCAGCTGCTCCTTGTTTGAGAGATTTTAGGAAAGTCTAAAGCCTGAACCAGGACAGGACATTCAGACGGAAAAGCCACTGCAAACAACTTGGGTGGGGCTGCAAGTTGCATGGGGCAGGTTTCTCAGGGAATCACCAGGGTGGAGTGAACAGTGTGAGCCTCACTGATGGAAACTCAGATATGGCTGCCAGTCAGCTCTGGAATGGGGGAGGTCCCAGCACTGGAACAATGACCCCTGCAAGCACCCTTGTCTGGGAAAAAGCCGTCCCTGTGTTCCTGCCCCAATGCCAGACAATCCAGTTCCTCCCGTATGTCCCTGATTCCACCAATGCTGCTGTCCAGCGCTGGAGCTCAGAGGGAGTGGGACTGTGTACCTCCTGTGCTGGCCCTTTAAGAGGAAATGCCTGGTTCTCCAGCAGCCTCCATATCACTCAGTCCCAATCACTGGTGGTTTTTACACCCCAAAGATACAGAGACTTCTCTTTCTAGCTCTGGAACCCTGGGTGGGGGTCTGGTGTGGGGCTGGGACCCCTTGCTCCTCGCGGGAGACCTCACAGCCAATATATCTATCCCTCCTGAGTTAAAAAAAAACCACACGTGTGTTGGACCAGCCTGTTTTGTGCCTCCATCCCTCTGACCAGTCTCGATGCACTTTCTTCTTTACTTTTCTAGTCATAGGACTTCCATGCAGCCAGATTTCAGGGGGTTCTGAATGATGGTTGTTCTGTATTTTAGTTGTAACTTTGAAGTGGTTGTGGGAGGATGTGAGTACCGGCATTTACCGACACCACCATCTTTGTTCTCTCTGCTATCCTATCTAATAAAGAGGGAATATGCAAATTGACCATTGCCCCATCACAAAGATGGCAGTGCCAAAGATGT